TTCGTCCTCGTCGGCGTCGGGTGCGTAGTCCGGCAGAGGGGTTTTCCTCTTCTTGGACCCCTCAGCCTCCCCTACTGGGGCGGCCTTGCTCTTCTTTCCTCCCCCCACTGGAGGGGGAGAGGTTTCTTCTTCCTCCTCCTCGTCTTCACGGGAGGAGTGCATCTCGGACTCGTCGGACGACGAATCCGACACCACCATATGCCGGGAACTCTTTCGAGTCCCCGTGGCCTTCTTCTTCTTGGCCTTCTTCTCCGGCACCACATAAGGTGCCGGAACCAGCAACTTCACTAGGAGAGCAGGGGCTGGGTCTTCGGGCAAGGGAGCCGGACAGTTAATCAGTCCGGACTTTGCCTTCCAATCCTGTCAAAGGTGAGGGAGTTTAGATCCCGCATAGAGTCAAACTATGAAGAAAACTTAACATCCTGTAAAAGATGAAAATATTTTACCTCACCAGCAGGACGCTGCGAGCTGAATCCGTGGTCTTCAGAGGCGGATGTGGGAGCCTCGGCGCCTTTGGTTAGCCCCTTCCAAACATCTTCGTACGTCGTGTCGAAGAGCCTGCTCAGAGTTCGGTGTTGCGCCGGGTTGAATTCCCACAAATTGAAGTCCCGTTCTTGACACGGAAGGATCCGGCGGACGAGCATGACCTGGACTATGTTGACAAGCTTGAGCTGCTTGTTCACCAGGGACTGGATGCATTTTTGCAGTCCGGTCACCTCTTCTTAGTCGCCCCACGACAAGCCCGTCTCCTTCCAGGACGTGAGCCGCGTAGGGGGTCCGGATCGGAATTCAGGGGCTGCGATCCACTTCGGATCGCGTGGCTCAGTGATGTAAAACCACCCTGACTGCCACCCCTTCAAGGTCTCCACAAAGGAGCCCTCGAGCCATAGGACGTTGGCTATTTTGCCCGCCATGGCACCTCCGCACTCCGCCTGGTTGCCGCGCACCACCTTTGGCTTGACGTTGAAAGTCTTGAGCCAGAGGCCGAAATGGGGGCGGATGCAGAGGAAAGCCTCGCACACGACGATAAACGCCGAGATATTGAGGATGAAGTTCGGGGCCAGATCGTGGAAATCTAGGCCATAGTAGAACATGAGCCCGCGGACAAATGGGTGGAGAGGAAAACCCAGTCCGCGGAGGAAGTGGGGAAGAAATACTACCCTCTCATGGGGCCTTGGGGTGGGGAGAAGCTGCCCCTCCTCAGGAAGCCGGTGCGCGATGTCTTTGGATAGGTATCCGGCCTTCCTTAGCCTTTTGACATGGCCCTCCGTGATGGAGGAGACCATCCACTTGCCTCCCGCTCTGGACATTGTTGGAGAAGGTTGAGGTAGGAAGTGCGGGCTTGGGCGCTGGAGCTCGGGTGCGCAGAAGATGGATAGGCAAAGGAGGAAGAAGGCGTAGGTAAAAAGATGGATCCTTATCCCCTTATATGGGCGGATGCGACTATGCGTCCCTACCAGCCTAGTAAAACTTGCTTGCCTCCCAAGCGCCGTGATAAATGGCGCGGTTGGGTTACCCACGTCCGTATTGATGAGAATCCCGTAAATGGAGGACACGATCTCTGCTTTGACAAGACGTGCCAAGGAAACCGCCTCGCAAAACACGCTGAGGTGGAAAAGTGAAAACGATTCGAATAAAGGCTTGGCCGTAGTGTGATGTCACGCTGCGGAATACGTCGGCAAATTAGATTTGTGTTAATATTATTCTCTCTGTGGCAATACGTGGAAACTTATTTTGCAGAGCCGGACACTACTCTTGGTGTTTACAAACTTTTATGAAGAATTTGGAGGAGGAACCCTCCTTGCAATGTCGAAGACAATCTACGCGCCGTACTCGTCGTCATTGAAGCCTGGTTCAGGGGCTACTGAGGGAGTCCTGGATTAGGGGGTGTTCGGGTAGCCGGACTATACCTTCAGCCGGACTCCAGGACTATGAAGATACAAGATTGAAGACTTCGTCTCGTGTCCGGATGGGACTTTCCTTGGCGTGGAAGGCAAGCTTGGCGATGCGGATATTCAAGATCTCCTACCATTGTAACCGACTTTGTGTAACCCTAACCCTCTCCGGTGTCTATATAAACCGGAGGGTTTTAGTCCGTAGGACAACTTCATCATACAACAATCATACCATAGGCTAGCTTCTAGGGTTTAGCCTCCTTGATCTCGTGGTAGATCTACTCTTGTACTACCCATATCATCAATATTAATCAAGCAGGACGTAGGGTTTTACCTCCATCAAGAGGGCCCGAACCTGGGTAAAACATCGTGTTCCTTGCCTCCTGTCGGTGTCAAAACCGGCGGATCTCGGGTAGGGGGTCCTGAACTGTGCGTCTAGGCCGGATGGTAACAGGAGGTCACATTTGGTGCCCTCAGAACATGCCAAAATGGTGTGTCTAGCTGCCGCCACATTCTGTGCAGTGGGATTCCTTCGGGTTTTTTTACGCGTTTTCGGGTTTCAATTAGTTACTTCTGGGGGTTTTGGGTTCTACCTTTTCACCCGGTTTTCCCTAAGTTTTGGAGAAAAAATCATGGAGTTTTTGCGTGAAAAAAATTATGTCTTAAAGAGAAGCATAACCGTGTTTCTCGAAAAGAGAAAAAAAAATATGTGCTCGACGAGAAACACATGTTTGCTTCTTGTGGAGGCACGGATTTGATTCCACAATAAGCATATAGATGGAAGGAAAAAAATATGTGTTTCAATAAGAATCATGGATTTGTTTGTCGTGGAGGCACAGATTTGCTTCCGCAAAAATCTATGCTTCTACGAGAAGTACAAATTTGCTCATGGAGACACAGATTTGTTTTCAGTTTCTCGGAAAAAAAGATTGTGCTTCCACGAGAAGCACGTACTTGCTTCTGGTGGAGACACAGATTTGCCTTCTCGGAAAGGGGGGAAAATTGTGCTTTCAGGAGAAGAACTGATTTGCTTCTTGTCGAGGCACAGATTTGTTTTCGCGAGTGTGCTTGTCGGAAATGAAAAAAAATGTGCTTCCACGAAAAGTGCGGATTTGCTTCTCGTGAAAACGCAGATTTGCTTCCGAGAAAATAAAAAGTTCACCGAAACCTATTAACATTCTTCCGTCTCCAATTTTGTTTGATTATTTTTTCGTCGAAACCTATTAACATGTGATCTAGTTTTGAAGTTCTCGATGCGACAAATCCAACAGTGAAAACAATTTGGAATTTGGACGCACGGTTCAAGAGATAAAATGTTTGAATAAACGAATCCACGAAAGAAGGGAAACTCCCAAGTTGTGACAAGTCACTCTATGCGTTCGGTTTATTCGGTTAATATGGTTTTTACGGTATGAATACTTCGGTAAATACGGTATGAACTTAAAATATGATTCAGTTTCGGTATATACCAAATTATTTCGGTATGGTTTCGGTATATACTATAATAACCAAAGTTGACGCGAATTTGAAAATGACGTAATAATAATTTACAAATGTATGACTCAACACACATACTATTTTACACAAATAGTATATCACTATATATATATATAAGTTTATGTGTATGCATGGATTCATCCCTTGATCGTTATGGACGTGCTTAGCATTTTTAAACAGAAAAATAACTATGTACAAGAAACATGTATACATGCTTAGTAGTGAATTTCACTCATGTATAAGAAAAATGACAACTTGTATAGTTGTTCGCCTCAAAAAAAATAAATAAATTTTTTACTTCGGTTTATTCGGTTAACCGTTGGTTTATTGGGTATATACCATAAAAACCAAAGTTCAAAACAGTATGAAAAGTTCATACCATATCGAAACCAGAAACCATAAAAACCGTAAAATTGGTTTGGTTTGGTTTATTTTCCGTATGGTTTTTCGGTTCTGTTTCAAAATGCATAGAGTGAGTGACAAGTGACTCACATATAGTGCGTCACTTGTCAGCATCTGAGGTGGGAGTGACCTTTGTAAGGGTGACCTTTAATTACTGACTTCGCGAGTACATGCGATTGGGCTTTGGGCCTCAACGCAGGAAAGGCCGACCACAACCCAGCAATAATAATAGTACTCAAATGCTTCAGACTTTTCTGAGACACAAGAAATGCTTCACAGTTCAGAGTTAGAGTTGCTTTTGCTGTTCCCTAAAAAAAAGAGTTGCTTTTGCTGAATATACAGGAGTACTACTATAATGTTCAGAGTTGAAGCACACGTTTCGGGAGAATTGGATAACAGGAACAGTAGAAACCTACTTCTATTTGAAACCGAGCTATCCGCCGCTAGTGCCCATGGGCTCCCGCGACCGCACCCGCGTCGGGTGAGCGCCCCCGGCGCCGGCGACTCGATCTCCCTTCTCCGGCTACCCCTGCAGCTGCCGAGGCCAGATCCGGAGTCCCCTGCTTGCCCTCTCTCTTCTCCCTGCGAGGCTCAGCCCGACGTCAAGCAGATGGGAAGGATGGTGCTGTCGCGTCCGTGCAAGTGGCGGCTGGGCGCGCGCCGCCGACGCACGGATCTCCGGCCTCCGTGCTCCGTTGCGGCCGCTGTGACCGGATCCGGGTGCCCCGAGGCGCGCTCTCCCACGTCCTCAGCGCCGCCCTGCGCCCCGGTTCGCCCTGCGATGCCGCTCGAGGAGGCCTCCGCGGCGGCCGCCGCTCCGGCGGCGTCTCCGGCTGTTGCAGCCGTCGTCCTTCCGCCGTCTGCATCGCCATCCCGGGCTGATAGCGTCGTGGAGACCAAGGCAGGAGTAGGGTCGTGCACTTGGGCTGCAAGCACCATCCCGGCTGCTGGCGTTGTCCCTCGACCGCGGCCGCTGCCGCCAGCTTGCAGATGCAGGAGGGAGGATGGGGGTGTGAAGGCCTCGTGCACGCCCCATCTCAATCCTGCGTCAACATCTGCTTCTGTCCGGACTCATGCCGCCCCCGTCCCTCTTGTCGGTGTCGTCTCAAGTGTGCTGCTGCCGGCCCCTGCTGCCCCGGCGAATGGAGAGGATGGGCGTTGTGAAGAGGATCCGGCTCTGTCGCTGCCCGCAGCACCGTTGTTGCCATGGGGCGTGAGCTAACCAGTGCACCGCGAGCCCGAGCCCTGTTGCCGGCCCCTGTGGCCCCGGCCAATGGAGACAATGAGGGCTGTGGAGAGGAGATGGCCTTGACGCTGCCCGACAATGCAAAAAGCATCGTTGCTGGCATGGGCAACGGGCTGACCGATGCACCACGAGCTGTGTTGTGGGCCTCCGCTGCTGACAACAATGACGAAGATGACGACGAGGAGTTGGCCCCCCAGACGCCGCCGACTGTCACCAAAGCCCTCGACTCCGAAGGGATTTGCATGGGCCATGACACAGACACAAGTGAGGGTTGGCAGGAGGTGCTACCGCGGCGCGGCCCGTGTCGTTCGACTTCGTCGCCATCCTCGATGATGGCTCCTCGTCCTCCTCGTCCCATCCCTGCTTGGCTCCATGGTAGATGTTGTAGATGCCTTGCTTATGGGCATCGTGCGGTTGTTTGCAGAGATCCGTTGCGGTGCTCTCGTTGTTTGGAGAATGGTCATCGTGCGCGTGAATGTCGCAACCCCCGACGTCCTCTGAGCTCATTATCATGCCTTGATGTGCCGCATGTGTCCCGCCTCGGCACCGTGCATCGTGTTGCTCCTGCTTCATGTGAGGGTTCGGTGAGATCCACACCCCCTTCGAAGGCGCTTCACCGTGGGTCTTGGGCATCTATTGTCTCTGTTGCTGCTGGCTCGGCAACCCCGTCCGAGCTGATGTTGCAGTCCGCACTGGCTGATCAGACTGCACTATTGCAAGGTTGTGTGGCGCGGGTTGAGAGCTTTCTGGAGCGAGCGGAGGTTGCTCTGGGTAGACTATCCCTTGTGCCGGCTCTGTTGCAGACCACTCTGACGTCACATTCTCCTTGTGTGGCCGGTGTTTGCTCCGTGGAAGACAGGGGTGAGGAGTTGTATGGCTCTTTCTCCCCTCGTGTTGGAGTCCATTCATCGTCGGTGCCTACCTCCCCTCCTATGGTGTCTTCCACTGAGGGCGAGTCCATCGCCGTGCTTGTGACTCCGGTGCTGCAGATCATGCCTGAGCTTAGGGAGCTATGCCTGAGTCTATCAGTGGAGCATACGAAGGTGGACATGTCGGCGGCCTCGATTGAAGGACAAGTTTCGCCTCTGTCAAGTGAGCAGTTGGAGGTTTCTTTGGTTGATGATGCTAAAGGGAAGGCAGCTGCTTCATGATTGGTAGTGCTCAGTGTTTCGCGTTGTCCACGTGGCTTTGGTCTTTTGAGTCGTAGAAGTGGCTGTGGTTTAGTGTGTGTTGGGAGCATTTGGTGGACCGTCTACGTGGTCGTGAGAGTGAGTCGCTTCTGGAGTGTCACTTTTGTAGTGTTTGTATCGGTTTTCGCCCGGTTTTCCTAAATTAACCGAGCAATTCTCTTCTTCTTAATTAATCGATGAGGCAATCCTTTTACCTCTGTTTCGAAAAAAAACCGAGCTATCCACTGGAAGACAAAACATGCAGACATCCACTTTTCAGATTGTTATAGAGCAATCGTGATATGAATTTCAAAACGAAGAAAGTTCCAGGACCAAACATATAGCTGCAGCCTGCAGACCTACCCGCAGCGTGAGAGGGCTCTACGGTACCGAAGCCAATGATTTTACAGCTTTGCTCAGAAAATCACATATGTTTTATCTCTCACACTGACCAGGTGGAAATCCCTGGCACTACAGCATATGTGCGTACAAAAATGAAGCAAAAATGTACAGATGGACATTGCTAAGGTGATTCCAGCGTGCTGGCAAATAGACTAGAAGATCACCTTCTCCTTCTTCACCAGGATCGGCGGGTCAACATCGATGCCCATGTTAGCGGCAGTGCCCGCTATGATTCTCATAGCGGATTCGATGGTTTTGCAGTTCAAGTCAGGCAGCTTCTCCTGGGCGATCGTGCGTACTTGGTCCACTGTCACCTTTCCAACTTTCTCGCGCTGTGGCTCCTTTGAGCCTTTTTCGACGCCTGGGAATCAGAATTAATAAAATGGAGGCAAGGAACCGGTTAGTTCACTGAGCAGTTATCAAACCTAATATAAACTACACTAAACAGAAACTTGGGGAATAAACCAAATGCGTAGAAAAAGGTTAAAAAAACCAAATGTGTAGAAATTTTAGTGGCTAACTTATGACTTGATTATTTTCAGAGAAACTAATGACTTATCAACCCAACAGACAGTATTAAGTTGTGTCAAGTACAGCCAAAAAAGAAACTGTACGTATATAACGGAGTAGCAGATGCGGTTCAAGCTGTTTTTTGCCTGCTTATTTTTTAGCTTTTTTGGCCTGCTTATCAGTGATACAGTGCCTTATGGAACGAAAGCCTAGAATGACAGTTAGGGAAAAGGAAATGGACAGCAAATTTGGTGAAGCTTATATACTCTGTGAACTTGGAGCCCAGTACAAACTCCAATGTTAGCTGAACAGAAAATTTAATGAGTCATGCATATGGCATTGTACCCAAATAATTCAAATAAGCGTTAACTCAAGGTATTAGTTTTGTAGAGGTCCATATGCAATTCATCAGATACAGATAAAGGATCAGTCTGTCCCAGTTGTGTAAAACTGGTATGCAGATAGCAATTCACAGACCACTTTCCCTGTCAGTAGGTTAACACTTTCGTATATGCATTTGCAATTAAAATTATTAATAATAGCATAGTGAATCATTAATCAGTCCCTCTACAGTCTGCACATACTTTTAAAACTCAACCATAGTATTCTCATAGAATTTGAACAAGCTAGGCTCTCACAGACACTAACAAATCAACCTAGCCACTGCATTTACCTTTTGCCCAATTATCCCCATATATCTTCAATTTGGTGCATGAACCTCAAATTATGTACAATTTGATGCTAATCAACCGGGTGCATACCTGCAGCCTTGAGGAGCAGCACTGAGGCAGGAGGCGTCTTCAAGATAAAGGTGAAGCTCTTATCCTGCAAAGATGCAAGGCAATGCCACACGCATCATGAGGACTAACTCACATTACCAATACATTCTGCACACACATTTAACATTCAGACTCGGGGGATTAACCAGCAGTGCAAGCTCACATCGAACACGGTGATCTCGACGGGGATGATGTAGCCGGGCTTGTCGGCCGTCTTGGCATTGTAATCCTTGCAGAAGGCCATGATGTTGACACCCTTGGCACCGAGCGCGGGGCCGACGGGCGGCGCGGGCGTCGCCTTGCCCGCCTCCAGCGCCAGCTTTATGATGCCCACCACTGCAGAACAACACACACATATCGGGCGCGGTTTAGCCGGAGCACTGGACGGGGGCCGGACAAGACCATGCCGGGCGGGATGAAGGTGGAGGCGAGCGCAGGCACGGACCTTTCTTGGGCTTGGCCCCGGGCTTGGGGGGCGCCATGGCCCTGACGGCGAACACCCTCCGCGAGGGCGTGGCCGCGGCCGCGAGCGCCGCCGGGCGGAGGAAGGAGGAGGGGGCGCCGAGGAAGGAGGAGGTGAGCTTCTTGGCAGTCGGGGACGGGAGCCCGTGGAGGGATAAGGTTGTGGTGGCCATGGCTGTGCACTGGGAGTCTGCTGCTCTCTGTTCTGCCCTGCTCTTCTTTCCTATCTTCTTCTAATCTGCTATCTGCTGGGCTAAGGTTAGAGAAGGCGCTGTCTGTACAGGTGAGTTCGTCTTCGCTATGAGGACACGGTTTTCATCTTGTCAATTGTTTGAAATTCATCCACAAGATTGATCACATCAAATTACATGAATACACGCGCATAAAAAACTGATAGTCAAAGAGCCTTTGTTGTGCCCTCTTTTCTTTCTTTTTCTTTTTTTCTTTTCTCTGGTTACAACTTCAAGGCCACGTCTACGCTTATATACACGCATAGATAACGCCCCTGTTGCAAACCTATTCAAACAAGACTTGTACTAAAATCTGACACGGTTTCAACTTTCTTAAGCTAACACACGTACTAAACCAAATGTACCACCAACTGGACTCGAAGTCCTACTACAACTCCAAACTAACTAGGACGTGGACTCTCACATACGGAGTATTAGCTAAACTGATCAACCGGCAATATTGATCACCCTTTATACTAATCATAACTATCATATGTTTGCATTATTCCAACATTCACCCCCTAATCCAAACACTCGATCTTTTACTTGACGAGACACACAGACGATCATATGTTCACCTTGTCACGCGGCTGCCTCCAGTGACACGACTTACCAGACCACATGTTCTCCCTTCTCGCAACCACTTCATCATCATCTTTTATTTTCATGTCGACTTGTAGACTAGAACCAACGATTATCCGGACTACCAGCCACGCTGTCATATCTTAGCATGCTACATGCAGACTAAACACATAGCCTCATACGGGAACTCAACTTAACTGGTGCGCATCCTCTTCGCGTTGATCTTCATCTATTCACCCGGCACATCTTTTTTCTTTGTCGTTGGTGACACAACTTACCAAATGACACCTCATGTCCAGCGGCAACACAACTCGCCATATACGTGCAACTCATCTTCATCGTATATGAACTCGCCGGAACTCCACCACCACGAACGAAAACGCAAGGCACATATTTCTTTTTCCGCCCGCACTCGCTCGTAATTCTCCTCCGCCAGTGACACATCTCAACTGCAGCAGAAGATTCATAAACCTGAGATCTTGGACGCACCTTACAAGAACTCATGTGCACACCTTGATGACGGCTCGCAACTTCGCCATCTCCACCTTTCACCCTCCAACGATGATCTCGATGATTTCCTTGGTGTCGCAACTTCGACACCTCCACAACCATCAACGATCACCAACGCCTTGCTTGCGACAGCGTCCTCGTCGCCTTCTTGTCGCTACAACAACGACTCTATTGCCCGCCCCGAGGCGCTAGCAGGGTCGCCACCCCGGGGCAAGCGCAGTTTCACTCGAACCTTGCTCTGATACCAATTGTTGGAAATTCACCCACAGGATCGATCACATCAAACTGCACGAACACACGCGCACAAAAAACTGATAGCCAAAGGGCCTTTGTCGTGCCCTTTTTTCTTCCTCTTTATTTCTTTTTCTTCTTTTCTCTGGTTACAACTTCAAGGCCACGCCTGTGCTTATATACACGCACAGGTAACACCCCTGTTGCAAAACCTACTCGAACAAGACTTGTACTAGAACCTGACACGGACTCAACTTTCCTAAGCTAACACACGTACTAAACCAAATCTACCACCAACCGGACTCGAACTCCTACTACAACTCCAAACTAACTAGGACGTGGACTCTCACGTACGGAGTATTACCTAAACTGATCAACCGGCAACATTGATCACCCTTTATACTAATCATAACTATCATATGTTTGGATTATTCCAACACCAATCATGACCATTTTTTTTAGCGGTAGGACGACCCACTACCGACGCCAGAAGGACGGAGAGGGAGGCCTGTAGGGTCGCGTGAATGCACACCGAGAAGGCTCATATTTCCGTCGGTGCAAAGGCCACGAAATCACTGATTGAAGAGTACTCCTTGCAAAGATCGGGTTCGGCTCTATAGGAATCCAACACTTGTCCGGGTAGGTCCACCACTAAAAATAATAATTATATTTCTATTCTCTAAATTAATTGAAAATCCTTTCCCTTACCTTATCCTCGATGGACTCTTTGGCAGCCATTGCTTTGCTAAGTTGAGCTCCAAGAGGTGAGGTCGCTGACCCAGGTGGTTTCCGTGGCCGGCGGAGTTGTCACTGCTAGAGTCGCATGCCTTCGGCATGCCCAAGCCATGCCCAAGCTGGACTAATTTGAATCGATCGAGTTCCTATAGAGGTTAGATGAAGTACTGAAGGGACCAATCATCTAGCAGGAGAGCTGACCCAACAGGCCTAGTAATGAACATCGATCTCCCATTTTGAACTGCACTCGCACAATCAACTGCGATGCCCGTTTGCACGCCCAACAGTTCCAGGCATCTAGCTGACCGTCGACACGCCTGCGGTTCCACCTCCCAAGGAGAACGGGTTAGCCGAGATGGAGAACAACCATATATGTGAGAGTCGATGAAGGACGGTCGGACGGCCTTGGCCTGAGCTTGAGGGCACATGAGGCAGGCCGCGACGGCCTCGTCTTGCCGCCGACAATTTGGGAAAAGAAGTTAATTAAGAAAAATAAAAATATGTCTTATTATTTCCAGTGGTGAACCTATCAAGATAAGTG